TGAAGGTCAGGACGTATGAAGATAAAAATAGAAAAAAATATATAAAAATTCTTCTTCATTAAATATATTAGAATTTAAGGGGTAAATTCCTGTTTTCAAAAATCTTTGTGTTATATTATGAGGAGTGAAACCTGACAGATATGCTTCTTCTACAAATTGCCCAACTTGATAAATAGTCACCGTTTTGCCAGGGTTTGACAACATCGATTCATTCATGGCAATGCAGTATCTAGTTTTGAAAGGCCTATATACTGTGACATCAAGTGGTTGCAGTTTATGACTGCAGTGCAGTGGGAATGTAACTATAATGATTGAAGTTTATCTGGCAAATTCAACCACTCTGAGATTCACATGACAGCTGTGATTATCCATCAATATTAATGCTAGATTCTCTTTTGATGGCCTAATGTGCATCACAAAGTGTTCAATCGCTTTAACAAAACAATCCTCGAGTTGTTACTAATGTTCCTCGTTTAGCTGAAGTAACTTGCCCAATTTGTTTCGAACCTCTTTCAGCTATGATTTTAGGAGGATTGGTGACGGCGTTGCAGCTTGTTTCGTCAGCGTTAAAAATCAAAACAGTGCGTAATTTCTCAAAAAATGTGTTTACATTAGTTTTATTAAAACTTGTTGCACGGGATAGAGTAGTGCTTTCAGGTTTTCTCACAGTTAAATCTTTGTGTCTGCTCATAAACCGTTTGAGCCAATCATCACTCGCAATTTTAACTTCCTTCCATTTATATAGAGTGATATCATTGGCCATGGCATAATCAAATGCCAGTTTCTTAGTTTGTTGCCTTGTTAGGCCATAACACATTTTAGAAGCAGTCCTTAAATATTCCGCAAGCATATTCTCCTTGTATGCTGTGATAATACGCTTATTCCCTATATTAGGACAGTGTTTATAAGCTTACTCACCAGAACCCATTACTTTTTTAACTATTTTAGCTAAGTATGCCCTCGATATATCAAAGATAAGTGGAATTTTGTTTATGGTCTGATCTTTCCCCAAAACTTCATTGATGGCTTCTTCAATTACCGATTTTTCTGGTCTTTTTCGTTTTTTTTTTTTTGGACCAGGCTTCTCCATAATGCTATATTTGAAGCAAATAATTTAATAAAATAATATGAAAACAAAAATGCATATTTACTATTTTTTTATTTTATTTACAAAATTTAAATGCAGGGTTATGAAAGATACGGTTATAAAAGAGCCCGGCTCTTTCATAACTTATTCTTTAAAAAATATAACCTTTAAAATAACAACCATATCAAAGCTTTTGCGGTTCAGTGTTTACGCAGCTGTAAGGTCAAGTATATGCGCAAACTCAATCTACAATCCATTTACCTATATTCCTTTACAAGAAAATACTAAAAAACAAGTTAAATAAAGCAAATAAAATATGCTCAAGAACAGAAAATTAGAAGGACACTGTTTAAAGAACTTATTGACGATGAAGAAAAATTTTTCAGATATTTTCGTATGAGTTTGTATCAGTTTGACATTTTACTAAAGAAAATAGAACTGCTGATAACTAAACAAGATACTAAACAAGATACAGTTTTCAAGTAAGCCTTGGCATCAAAAGAAAAACTAGCAGTATGTCTCAGGTAAGATTTATATGAGAATTTCTTTGTATCGTAGTGGAATCATTCATTAATATTATTCTAAGTCGAAGCGCTCATATGTCAGATCCTCTGTATCTTGTGAAAAATATCCTTGGGAGAAGTCCTGCATTGTATTTGGCATAGGAGTATTTTCTGTATAGTTCGAGTTATACGATGATGGTGTGGATACCATAGAATTACTATTGTATGGCCTGCTCTGAATATCTATTTCCATGCGAGTGAATAATTCAAATATCTTGGCTTTTGCAATAGCCCTGTCTCTTGGCGGAAAAGATCGCAAGGTAGTTGTAATCCCAGTCATAGATTGTTCACTGTCATCCGGTGGTAGAGAATTTTTTTTACTGTCTATTATAAACTTCATTAGTACTGTGCTAGGTTTCTTCTCAAATCGTTTTTGGTCTCGTTTAGTGCGCTTTTGGCTGAAGGTAGTTTTCAGTTGTAGCTGGTGTAGTTAGTAATGTACCAGACATGTGTTGAATAACCGCAGGAGTAGATGGCGGTGTGTCAGTCGTTTGTTGTCCAACTTCAGGTGACTGAGCAATATTCCTTTCTTCGTTAGCGTTGTCGTCATCAAAAGCTGGTATTGTTGGGATTGGACATATAGTCGGTCTTTCTCTCATGTACGGTAACAAAAAAGACATTTCATCTTTATACTTCCATTTTTTTGTCAGGAATACTGGTCTGCCCACTTTTAGAATCTTTTCTCTTTTTAATAGAACGTCTGAAGGTTTTTTTACATTCTGTTCCTGAAACAAGGAAACAAATTAATAACATTACAATATTTTTCTTTGCAAATTTTTGGCCACTGGGGACTCCTTCGTTTCTATAGCATTTAGTAATAGACTAGGAGCACCGTGCACAAGATAGTGAAAGAGGTTTGCAGTGCAATAATAGAACGAATGATGAAGGAAATCTTGCCTCCCCCCTACAAAAGAGAACAGTGGCTAAGAATCGCAGAGGACTTTTGGAATACTTGGAATTTGCCTAACTGTATCGGACCCATTGACGGCAAGCATGTTGTAATAACTGTTCAAATTCCGGATCTTAGTTCTTTAAATGTAAAAAAAAAAACTCTTTCAATCGTCTTCATGGCAATTGTAGACGCTGATTACAAGGTCATATGTGTCGATGTTGGTGCTTATGGGAAAAACAGTGATGGAGGTATGCTTTCAAATTCAAACATTGGAAAAGCATTAATGTCAAACACATTTAACGTCCCGAAAAGCAAATATTTACCTGACACTGAAATGACAGCGCCACATGTTATTATAGGAGATGAAGCATTCCCTTTAAGAACCTACCTAATGAGACCATATCCTAAACCTCAACTATGGGACCAAAGAAAAATGTCGAAAAAAAATGCAAGAAAAGTTGTCGAAAATGCATTTGGGATTTTAGCTCAAAAATTTCGTCTCCATACTAGAAGAATACAAATTCTTCCTGATAATGCTGACAAAGTTGTTATGACAACGTGTATCTTACATAATTATATAAAATCCGGTGAGGTTCAGCATTTGAATAATGAAGCAAACACATCATCACATTCCTTATCAAATCTACCTAGACAGGGCGGCAATTACCAGGCTGCCGCATTCAATGTCAGATTCAGAGAGAATTTTGCTAGGTTTTCGATTCACCAGAAAAAGCGTTAAGCTACTAAATGCTAACTTATTATTTAATATTAAAATAAAATATGTACTTACAGATAGCGCGCGAGTTGAATGCAGAGCTCAGGAATGCGATAGTGCTGTGACCTAATTAGAATTAATGATGACAATATGTCGATAAATTTCAACATTGTTTTAAGTTTAACGTTTTAAGTTTAGAAAAAACAAGGTAATAATTATCACACATTTTTTATTATTTTACACATCAAAATCAATAAAAAAAAAATTATGCATAAATATAATTTATGCAGCATCAGATTCTGAAATGGCAGACTTGGTTGAATCGATGCCACTATCCTCACCATGGCTGACCTCAATTACGAATCGATCTATGGTATCTTCCATTAATCCATCTCTTTGCCAATAATTTTCTTCTAAAATTAAGACGTGATCGTCGAAGCCACGCCAATCTTCCTCTGTGACCTGAGAGAGAGCCAGCTCCGTAAATTCTTTTAACCTTTTTAGGGAGAAATCAGAAGTAACATTGTGATGCCTTACAGTTCTTTTTACTTTTGCCCAAGCCAACTCAATAGGGTTGAGGTCGCACATGTACGGTGGTAGTCTTACTACGATATGGCCTTGACTTCTGATGGATTCATCGATTTTGAAAGATTTTTCCGTTGGTTTATGTAACTGAACCAAGTGAAAGAGCTGATCTTTTCTCATAGTAAGTGAAGCTTCGATATTGTTCTTGGTTAACCATTCCAACATTACTAATTTGGTGCTGGACTTTGTTGGGACTTTATTTTCTTGTACACTATGATACGGTGCGTTGTCCATCACAACAACGCTGGTTTGTGGTAGATTAGGGATTAACATATCAGTGGCCCACTTCTCAAAATTAACACTGTTCATCTCTCCGTGATAATCACCTGACGTAGTACCAGCCTTAAAAAGTAACTTTGCACCATTTAAAAACCCTCCTCTCGATCCTGCGTGGACAAGAATGAGCCTGTTCGTGGAGCTTGTATCCGTCAACACGGCGTCGATCATTTCATTTCTCCAGCATTTTTTAAATGTGAGGTTGTTGTCTACCCATGTTTCATCGAGAAAAATAAATATTTCGATCTTCTTGCCTATATTGACGAATTTTCCGCAAATAAATTGACCGTGCATATGCGACAACTGGTCTCTCCACCAAAATTCTACGTTTATTATGACATTTAAGTTATCTATATCCCATGTCTTTTAACAATTTTCTTAAACTCGTCACTCCCCATGGAAACTCGATTTTTTCTCGAATAGCTGCGAGGAGTTTAATGCAGGTCGGAACAATTTTTTTAGTTAAATAAAATTCTTCATTAATTCTGTGTATAACATCTCGTTCAAAATCATCGACGTTTAAATTTGTCTTCTTGTTACACTGTCTTTTCTTTTTAGAAGGCGAACAAAGAGGCCCTTTTTTGGCTTCATTTTGAATTGCAGACAATGTTCTCTTCGAAAGTCCAGTGTAACGGCTTGCGCGATCGTAAGCATTATTTAATGTGAATGTTAAATTGTTGTTCTGCCTTTCTTTAACACACATGTCTAGAACATTTTTTGCCATTTCCCGTGCTTGGCGATGAATAAAAACTCGTTTTTTTGTAACAGAACTTGACGTACACGGATCAGACATCATTAAAAACAAAAATAACACGCGGCTGCAACTTTATATTAACACGATAACACAGTAAGCGTATGATAGTTGTCAAGGACAGCACAGCACTACACTGCAGGCGTGCGAGACACGGCGTGCGGACGGCGGGGGGAGACGCTCCCGCTCTTCACCTCCCCCGACCCCCGGCCCCGACGGCATTCAACTCGCGCGCTATCTGTACCATTCCTTTTAAGTATCATTCCTTTTTCGTTCCACGTCTGATCTTTTCTGTGATTGTCACTGTATCTTTTATCGGTTAAATCATAAAGGTATTCATATTTTTTTACAATTTCTATGAGCTGTTCGTTATCCATGGCAAAAAAAAAAACAACACGTCAGCACGGTCCCGATACTCCATTCATACTGCCCGGCAGGTAGTTTACGCGAATACTGGCCGGGCACGGCCTGTGTCTGCGTCTGCGCGGCCGTGTCACGACAGATATAATTTATATCGTAGCCGAATTCCGTCTTTTCCCGAATCAATATCATTAGCAGCAGAAGTACTGGAACTATTTCGACTAGGAGGAGACAGGTCTTCTTCACTGTTCATGTTTGTTATCTCATTTATATTCCACATTTGCACATTATTAGCATTACTTTCTAACGAAAAACCTTTTTTTTAAACCGTGGATCAAGAAAGGTAGCTTTTGCAACTGTTCTATTAGTTTCATACGTCCTAAGTCGTTTTTCTATCACAGCAACAAGACTACGTTTTAAACACTTGCCTAATTCCGTCACAGGCGTCTTGCTGTTAACGGCCCTTCGTAGTCCAAATACAAGAGGAATAACAGAAGACAGAGTTGGGTATTGTTCTCGTGATAAAATTGTTGTCACCTTTTCGAAAGGACGTAAAATTGCCGTCACATCTTCTGTCGATAACCACTCATTGGAATCCAGATTTGGCGGAGGTGATCTAAAGTCCAGTCGCGGAGCACGAAGAATTTCGTACAATGACCTCTTTACCTACTGACAGTGGTCACAAACATTTTTGTATTTAGTGCGGTTTACATGAAATATATGAAGGAGAAAGAAAATTTAATATTTATTTATATAAAGAAATATAGTTATTATTATTATATAAATTACTTATTTAGATTTTATATTACAAGTAATAAAAATCTAGACAAGTATCTACTAATTCGGTAGAAAAAATTAAATAAAAAATCAGAATCTGATTCCTCTGTATCGGAGTAACTGCTTTCCTAAGACGTCTCGCCTGTCACATTTATCACAAAAGAATCAACAGTTTTGTCTACATTATCATCTAGTCTAGCTAATTTCGATTCCTCTTTTTTTACGTGACTGATGCAATTTTGCCATTTTTCTGCTGAAATGTTGCCTAAAGCCTCCCGGAGCAGCTTTTTAACATCTGCCATCTTAAATGTTGTATTTTTTCGGGCCATATACCCCTTGACGTCTGCCCACACTAGTTCGATGGGATTCAATTCGCAATGGTACGGAGGTAAACTCAATACCTCCACACCAACTGCTTTTGCTAGCTCATCGACCACGTACGATTGGTACTGAATCTTGACATCTTTCACCTTTTTCAAGAGCTGGACTTTTGTTTCCTTTGCCTCAAAAGAAATTTGCTTTGATGAAAGCCATTCTTGAATATCTATTTTTTTCCAACTAGTAACTGGGATTTTTTCCTGGCGTCTTGAGTGGTAGCTGGCATTATCCATGACAACCACTGCGTTTGGCTCAAGTTCGGCAGAACTCCCGATACCATCCACACCATCTGGATGATTGGCGGTCCACCACTGTGTGATTTAGAAGATGATTTCTTCCTCGCACGACCTCCTTGTGGAATCGATTACCATCGGCGATTTTTCCAGACCGATACGACTTAGGGACCTTCAAGAAAAGAGCGTACTCCTTTTTAAAAGGCCGGCTACGCATCTGCAATTCCCTCCCTGGTGTTGCAGTTGTTCATGGGCGGCGGTAGTCACTTACCATCAGGTGAGCCGCATGCTCGTTTGCTCCCTCTCCTATAAAAAAAAAGTCTCGGTAGCATTGCTTGAAACCAATGTTCGAACTTGGCTGCATTCATCGATTCGTGATAATCGCCTGTACCTTTGCATTTAAACACCAATTCCGATTCTGGCACGAATCCTTGTTCACCTCCTATATGTAAAATAATTAGCCGGTTGCCTTTGGAAGTAGGATTCTTGGCACCCGTCGACAAACCCTCCAAAAATGCTTGTTTTCGTGACTGCACTGTAGTGTCTTCCCGCACCTTGCCAACAGTGTGCCCTGAAAAGTAAATGAATAAACTAATCAAAGGTTTAAACAATTAATAGCCGTTTAGGTGACAGACAGTGTTACTTTCACATTCATAATTTTAGTATAGATTTAAGTCAGTTAGAAAATAATAAAAATAAGTCTTATCCGCATTCACCCAAGTTTCATCCAAGTAATATATTGGTCATAGTTGCTATCGGTAAGTTTTCATATTTTTCAAATATGTATTTGATACGCCACAATGCTATGTCATCTCTGTCGATTAATCCGTTATTTTTCCTTCGTTTGACATACTTAAACTTCAAATCTTTCAGTAATTTATTCAACGATGTCAAGCCCATGTTTGGTAAGGATTCGTCTGTATTTATGATATGTAGCACCTTTTTTGCTGTAGGTAACTCTCCTTTTAAATAAAAGCTGTGTACTATTCGTCTAATGCACGATTTATCGAACCCATCAATCTTTTCAATTAATGAGAGTCGTTTTTTCGGTGAAGCATCTGGCTTGGCAGTATCTGTGTCGGTATATTATTTTAAGATACGATATATGGCCGATTTCGAAATGCCCATGATATCGGCTGTTTTCTCCTTCATATCTTTTTTTTAAGGATATTTATCAGCAGGCCAGGATTCTTTAACGTATTTAAACACGTTAATTATCATTACCTTCTCAGATACACTAAAGTGTGACATTTTTCTTTTCTTCCGCGGAGAAACAAACTCTTTGAATGGACGCGAGGTAGACGGCGCTGGTTCCATTTTAAAAGACTGAATAAAACTTAACGAATTAACAAAACCACTTAACAATTAAAACAAGATAACAAACAACAACAAACTAAGAATAGGTAAATAACTGTGTCCGAAAACTGAGCGATCACTAACGCATCCCAAGATGGAATGTCGTTCGTCATTTAAACATTATTAATTACGTCAAGATCAAGCAAACCAAGGACTTTTTGTCGTGACTCAAGGCCAACCAAAACCACATTATGCAAACAAGAACAAACCTTATAGTCTCCAGTAAAAGGCTTACAATCCCTGAGGACGGCGGCCATTGTATCTGTGCAAGCGAGACTCATTGTATTTACGCGGGAGTGACAGAGACAGGTAATAATAGTTCAATGTACGAAATTCTTCGTGCTCCGCGATTGGACTTTAGTAGGGTAATGTACCAGAAAGCGATATCTTAACTTTGAATAGATGCTCAAGCATATGGAAATACTGTTCCAGCGAGTACGAACATCTTGATTGAGTTTTAATGTGTCAACTTTCAGTTGCTCTTGAATGTTAAGTAAGTTTTCATTGTTGCAGCGTTATATGTGACAATGAAAACAGCAGTAAGTGAATGTTTCAATAAGCGAAATCATTTTTGTGTTGCTCATACACTTAATCTTGCGGTCAAAGACTGTATAGAGAAAGAAACGTTTGATTTGCATGAGAATGCTACCGTTACCATTACCAGTCAGTTATTACAACTTTTAGCCAAATGTCGATCAATTGTTTCGCATTTTAAATATAGCACGAAATCTTCTATGCCTTACTTAACATTCAAGAGCAACTGAAAGTTGACACATTAAAACTCAATCAAGATGTTCGTACTCGCTGGAACAGTATTTCCATATGCTTGAGCATCTATTCAAAGTTAAGATATCGCTTTCTGGTACATTACCCTACTAAAGTCCAATCGCGGAGCACGAAGAATTTCGTACATTGAACTATTATTACCTGTCTCTGTCACTCCCGCGTAAATACAATGAGTCTCGCTTGCACAGATACAATGGCCGCCGTCCTCAGGGATTGTAAGCCTTTTACTGGAGACTATAAGGTTTGTTCTTGTTTGCATAATGTGGTTTTGGTTGGCCTTGAGTCACGACAAAAAGTCCTTGGTTTGCTTGATCTTGACGTAATTAATAATGTTTAAATGACGAACGACATTCCATCTTGGGATGCGTTAGTGATCGCTCAGTTTTCGGACACAGTTATTTACCTATTCTTAGTTTGTTGTTGTTTGTTATCTTGTTTTAATTGTTAAGTGGTTTTGTTAATTCGTTAAGTTTTATTCAGTCTTTTAAAATGGAACCAGCGCCGTCTACCTCGCGTCCATTCAAAGAGTTTGTTTCTCCGCGGAAGAAAAGAAAAATGTCACACTTTAGTGTATCTGAGAAGGTAATGATAATTAACGTGTTTAAATACGTTAAAGAATCCTGGCCTGCTGATAAATATCCTTAAAAAAAAGATATGAAGGAGAAAACAGCCGATATCATGGGCATTTCGAAATCGGCCATATATCGTATCTTAAAATAATATACCGACACAGATACTGCCAAGCCAGATGCTTCACCGAAAAAACGACTCTCATTAATTGAAAAGATTGATGGGTTCGATAAATCGTGCATTAGACGAATAGTACACAGCTTTTATTTAAAAGGAGAGTTACCTACAGCAAAAAAGGTGCTACATATCATAAATACAGACGAATCCTTACCAAACATGGGCTTGACATCGTTGAATAAATTACTGAAAGATTTGAAGTTTAAGTATGTCAAACGAAGGAAAAATAACGGATTAATCGACAGAGATGACATAGCATTGTGGCGTATCAAATATTTGAAAAATATGAAAACTTACCGATAGCAACTATGACCAATATATTACTTGGATGAAACTTGGGTGAATGCGGATAAGACTTATTTTTATTATTTTCTAACTGACTTAAATCTATACTAAAATTATGAATGTGAAAGTAACACTGTCTGTCACCTAAACGGCTATTAATTGTTTAAACCTTTGATTAGTTTATTCATTTACTTTTCAGGGCACACTGTTGGCAAGGTGCGGGAAGACACTACAGTGCAGTCACGAAAACAAGCATTTTTGGAGGGTTTGTCGACGGGTGCCAAGAATCCTACTTCCAAAGGCAACCGGCTAATTATTTTACATATAGGAGGTGAACAAGGATTCGTGCCAGAATCGGAATTGGTGTTTAAATGCAAAGGTACAGGCGATTATCACGAATCGATGAATGCAGCCAAGTTCGAACATTGGTTTCAAGCAATGCTACCGAGACTTTTTTTTTATAGGAGAGGGAGCAAACGAGCATGCGGCTCACCTGATGGTAAGTGACTACCGCCGCCCATGAACAACTGCAACACCAGGGAGGGAATTGCAGATGCGTAGCCGGCCTTTTAAAAAGGAGTACGCTCTTTTCTTGAAGGTCCCTAAGTCGTATCGGTCTGGAAAAATCGCCGATGGTAATCGATTCCACAAGGAGGTCGTGCGAGGAAGAAATCATCTTCTAAATCACACAGTGGTGGACCGCCAATCATCCAGATGGTGTGGATGGTATCGGGAGTTCTGCCGAACTTGAGCCAAACGCAGTGGTTGTCATGGATAATGCCAGCTACCACTCAAGACGCCAGGAAAAAATCCCAGTTACTAGTTGGAAAAAAATAGATATTCAAGAATGGCTTTCATCAAAGCAAATTTCTTTTGAGGCAAAGGAAACAAAAGTCCAGCTCTTGAAAAAGGTGAAAGATGTCAAGATTCAGTACCAATCGTACGTGGTCGATGAGCTAGCAAAAGCAGTTGGTGTGGAGGTATTGAGTTTACCTCCGTACCATTGCGAATTGAATCCCATCGAACTAGTGTGGGCAGACGTCAAGGGGTATATGGCCCGAAAAAATACAACATTTAAGATGGCAGATGTTAAAAAGCTGCTCCGGGAGGCTTTAGGCAACATTTCAGCAGAAAAATGGCAAAATTGCATCAGTCACGTAAAAAAAGAGGAATCGAAATTAGCTAGACTAGATGATAATGTAGACAAAACTGTTGATTCTTTTGTGATAAATGTGACAGGCGAGACGTCTTAGGAAAGCAGTTACTCCGATACAGAGGAATCAGATTCTGATTTTTTATTTAATTTTTTCTACCGAATTAGTAGATACTTGTCTAGATTTTTATTACTTGTAATATAAAATCTAAATAAGTAATTTATATAATAATAATAACTATATTTCTTTATATAAATAAATATTAAATTTTCTTTCTCCTTCATATATTTCATGTAAACCGCACTAAATACAAAAATGTTTGTGACCACTGTCAGTAGGTAAAGAGGTCATTGTACGAAATTCTTCGTGCTCCGCGACTGGACTTTAGATCACCTCCGCCAAATCTGGATTCCAATGAGTGGTTATCGACAGAAGATGTGACGGCAATTTTACGTCCTTTCGAAAAGGTGACAACAATTTTATCACGAGAACAATACCCAACTCTGTCTTCTGTTATTCCTCTTGTATTTGGACTACGAAGGGCCGTTAACAGCAAGACGCCTGTGACGGAATTAGTACACAAGTAGACAATAATTATTAGTTTTAAACTTATTTGCCACTGGTCCATTACTTTCTGAATAGCAATCGCAATATTTTCAGCAGTGTGATTCTCTTTTATTTCTGAAGTAGAAATAACTACTGATTTCAATTTTATTTGTTCTATATAGTGTGTTGTCACACTTATGAAGCTTTTGTTACTATCTGAAGACCAGATATCAGATATCAAAGTTAAATAGTAAACTTCCTCCAATTCATTGTTTAGAGATTTGTATTCAAACTTATACTTTTCATCTATCATCAGTACAATTTTTTCTCTAGTAGAAAGTTCATAATCAGAATTTAATGTTTTTGTATATTGCTTAAAGCCATCGTTATCCACTATTTCGGAAGATTGATAATCTTTAATTATCATATTAATCAAGGCACTGTCGCCAAATTTTTGCGTAGTCTTCTTCGGCACGGCCAGGCGGGTTTGAGTTTGCCTCAATTTATTTTGAGGAGGCTCAACCTCCGATGTAGATGGCTGCGACGAGAGAATTTATTGTCATTTTTTTCTAGAATTACTCTAACGATTTCATTTTTCAGGTTTGTTTAGGATAAGTATCTCAAATTCATATAAACATCTATTTGCAGTATAAGAATGCTTCCTGTAAATGTAAAAGACGAAAAAGTGGTGGACTTAGCAGAATTTGAAACTGAAGCTCGGACATTTTGAATCTGATAAACATGGACATTGCTGTTTTTGATATGACAATTTTGAGGTATACTTCATTCAACCTAACTTGATACTTTGAAGTGCTCAATGAAAATAGTATTTATTTTGAACATAATTAATTAAGTTGGTAATGGGTATACTTAGAGATAAATAAAGAAATTGATAGTAACATTTTTTTAAAAGTTTATTGGTAAAAATTAAATCATTAGGTCATTTAAAATTATTTGTTCTTGGCACGAAGTTTCTAGATCAACATCATTATTTTCATCCTCTTCATTTTCCACGTCATCGACTGGTACCGTATTTGGTATCAATTTGTCGTAAAAAGACAACATCTCATAACTCCTCCAGTCAGCGTCAAAGTGAGTACTTAATAATTTGTTGACATCTCTAATTTTTGTTGCTTTTAGGGATGGGTTTAATCTTCTAACAACAAACGAAACTAACAAAAACAATAACCGACAACCGCTAGACTAATGATAACTTCAAATTAATGAACAATATGACATGTGACATTTGTTACCAACTTCGTATAATCGTCGTGATTTGTTCATGTACAGCCAGCCTAAACTCGAGTTAGGGAGATCCAACTCTAGTTCACTCGAGTTAGTAAATCGAGTTGGCCCATCGCTAGATGAGAGAAATCTTTATTACATAAGTGACAGGTCGCCTGGTACGGATTTTATTTTACTTGTTTTACATAAACAAATTTT